CGATAGCTCAAAAAATTCAATACAGATTTTAACGAAATTTTGTGATTTATTTATAACTATAAGGTACTTCTAAAATAACAAAAAATATTTATTTATTTTGCGATAGATTTTGAGCTACGCTGTTTTGAAATCGGTGAAATTTTCAAAAAATTCATTTTTTTCTAGATTTTTTGTTCAAAATTTCTTTTGATTCGAAACAATAACATTTATTTTTTTTGTTATTACATTGTTTCACTGATATGCACAAAAAATTTCATCAAGATATGTTGGCTAGTTCAAGAGATATAGCGTTCTACATAGGTACAAGTTTTGAAAAAAATCGCTCAAAAATTTGGGGATGCTGTCACAAAAATCTTCATAACTTGAAAAATAATTGAAATTTTTTTATAAAAATTTTATTTTGTCGATGAAATACATTGAGGTACTTACTGTTCAAATTTTAAAAAAATCGGAGATGGTCGGGCGTGGACTTTTTTTTAAATCGTTCAAGTTGACAGAGAATGACCCATATATATATATATATTAGTTACATTTATTAACAATTTTTAAAAAATTATCAATGATGATGATTGTGACCTGACTGATTAAAAAGCATCAATGAAAATTTTTAAAATAGGATGGCAAATTTGTTATATTGGGATATTCGTATAAAAAATTTCGCGAGCAAAATTTCAATAAAAAAGCGCTTATAAATCTACTAATATTGGCCCAGCTTGGCTTGGCTCGGAATTGCATGTTAAGCAAGGTGTGGTCTCAAACTATTTGGAATTCTCCCAAAAAATTTGAACTGCGTGCGCAAATATGTAGCACCAAGGGGAGGCCTATTTACCAATATACAACACTTTCTTATGGGTTGAAGCAGTGATACGCAAAGAACCTTAATTTTTTCAACTTTTAATTATTTTCAGTAATGTCGATTTTATTTTATTAAATTTATACCAAATAAAAGTAATTAATTACCACATTGAAAAACAATTAAGAAAATTAAAATGTTAACATTCTAAATAAAAGCAATATTCCGTAATTAGTGAATATACGATTGTAACTTGACTCGAACGATAAAAAAAATCACCCTCCAACTCCCCTACGGAAATAAGCTTCTTGTTCGACCGTTGAAAGTGGGCGAAGGCTGTTATATTTATTCTAGTTATATGTGTAGCACTGATTACCGTTGCGTTTATAATGAATTTATATAGTATATATAAAGCGAGCAAAATTTTATTGGCTCAGCTTGGCTTGGCTTGGTTTAACTTGGCTTGGTTCGGCTCAACTTGGAATTGGATGTTAAGCAAGGTGTGGTCTCAAACTATTTGGAATTCTCCCAGAAAAATTTGAACTGCGTGTGCACATATGTTGCACTGATTACTGTTGCGTTTATAAAGAATTTATATACTATATATAAAGAAAGCAAAATTTTATTGGCTCAGCTTGGCTTGGCTCGGCTTGGAATTGGATGTTAAGCAAGGTGTGGTCTCAAATTATTTGGAATTCTCCCAGTATATATATATATATATATATATATATAATAACTAGAATCCATGTAAACAAATAATTAATAAGATTATATGTTCATATAAAAAAGCAATATACCAGTTTCAACCAGCCAATCAGAAAGTTTCGAAGGCGTTCGTTCGATGACGTCAATTTAGTACGGTTAGCATTATTGTTAAGACTGTATAATAGTGTAGTACATACATTAAATAAGTTTTTTCCTGTGAATGATTGAAATGATGAAAATGTATGGTTGAAACGAGTATAAAAAGGAGCTGAGAAAGTGTGAAAATCAGATAAGGCATTCTGCTTCGCTTGAAGCAGTCTGTCTGATCTAATTTTTTTTATTTTTTTAATTTGTTTATTTTTATTTATTTTATTATATAGAGTTATATAGAGTTATATAGAGTTGGCATGTCTGTGGTTTGTGTGCTTGTTTGTTGTATTTTTTTATATTTTAGGTGGGTTCTTTAGCGGTTGCTCATACATACATACATCATGTTTGTTTGTGTAGTAGTATTTTATGTTCTGTTTTACTTCTTTTTCTCTTTCTTCATGAGTCTTAAGTTAAGTTAATGAAACATAGGTAGGTGAGGTAAAAATTAATTTATTATATAGGTAGGCTAGGGCATAAGTTAATTTAGTTACATAGGTAAGTTAGGGACTTCTATTCTTTTACTCTACTTGATATGTGTTTTTTGTTTTGTGTTTTTTTTGTTTTGTTTCACACCATACATATAACAGGTACGCGGTGGTTCCTGGTTTTAGTGGAATTTTTATTGAATGAATGTGGTAGTGTGCATGGTTATATAGAGTTATATAGAGTTATATAGAGTTATATAGAGTTATATAGAGTTATATAGAGTTATATAGAGTTATATAGAGTTATATAGAGTTATATAGAGTTATATAGAGTTATATAGAGTTATATAGAGTTATATAGAGTTATATAGAGTTATATAGAGTTATATAGAGTTATATAGAGTTATATAGAGTTATATAGAGTTATATAGAGTTATATAGAGTTATATAGAGTTATATAGAGTTATATAGAGTTATATAGAGTTATATAGAGTTATATAGAGTTATATAGAGTTATATAGAGTTATATAGAGTTATATAGAGTTATATAGAGTTATATAGAGTTATATAGAGTTATATAGAGTTATATAGAGTTATATAGAGTTATATAGAGTTATATAGAGTTATATAGAGTTATATAGAGTTATATAGAGTTATATAGAGTTATATAGAGTTATATAGAGTTATATAGAGCATAAATCCTATATAGAGCATAAATCCTATATAGAGCATAAATCCTATATAGAGCATAAATCCTATATAGATACCTTTCTTTGAGGTTCTTTTCTTTGCCGACCGGTCGGCTTCTTTGCGTTTCTCTATTTTCATTTAAATTAATTAAATAAATAAGATTTTTCCATTCATTTAGGTTTATTCAGGTTCATTCAGGTTTATTCATTCAGGTTGAGGCTTCCAGAGGAGTTCATCGTGGAAGATCAGAATGGTTGTGATGTCAAGCTACGTTCGTTCCTTCAGTGGCAAACAATGCACGCCTGGCTGGGGTTCGTTTTACGGTTTCTTAGCGGTTCCTTTTTTTGCCAGTTACAGGCTGTTGCGGCTGGCGGGTTTCACCGCGGCTCTTTTTTCTACTTTCATTTAAATAAATTAAATAAATAAGATTTTTTCATTTTATTCATTTCATTCAGGTTGAAGTTTCCAGAGGAGTTCATCATGGAAGATGTCAGGCTACGTTCATTCAGTGGCAAAGACACGCCTGGCTGGGATACGTTTTATTCTTTTTTCTCTGTTTTTCTCTCTAATTTAACATTAAGTAAGAATGCATACACGCACACACATACACACAATTACATTAAGTAGCTATATAGGTAGATTAGATAGGCATAATTTTAACTGTAGGTAGGATAGATAGGAAGCATCCAACACTAATGTAGTTGAATAGGTAGGCGCGTAAGTTTATCTCTTCTGTTTTTTCTTGCACCAACATTACACGCATCAGCGTATTACACACACACACACACACAAATACATACATAAACACATATGTTAGTATTTGAGCGTAATTTTATTTCCATTACACATTCTAATTTATTATTACTAAAATTGAGAGTAATTTAATTTCATAGGTAATTAAGGGCAATAATGTAATTCTAGGAACAATCTTGTAATGTAAATTAAAACGCTGTAAGTATCGATAGGTAGGCTAATATAAGTTTTACATTATTATTATTATGTTGGAGCCCAAGGCATTATGTAGGTGGTGGGGTGGGCGCCGATTGGCTAAATGAATTGGGCTCTTGAGTTTTGTAATTTTAGGTAAGCTAGGACCGTAATGTAATGAATAGGTAAGTTAAGGCTACGTTGTAACACATACTCATTAATAGATTTAGGGTTTAAGTTTTATATTATTATTATTAAGTTGGAGCCCAAGGCATTACGTAGGTGGTGGGGTGGGTGCCGATTGGCTAAATGAATTGGGCTCTTGAGTTTTATAATTTTAGGTAAGCTAGGGCTTAATTGTAATGAATAGGTAAGTTGAGGGTACGATAGCCGATTGACTCTGGATTTCAAAGTCTCTTGTCAGAGGTAAGCCTTGGTGGCCAGTGGTGAACCGGCAATGGTTTACTATCCGGACGGCAATGGTTTACTATCTGCACGGTAATGATTTACTATGCGGCACGGCCATAGTCTACTACCCGCACGGCTTCCGGACGGCAAATGGTTTACTATCCGCACGGCAATAGTCTACTATCCGCACGGC